GTTCAAATCCGGCCCGGAGGATGTTTTGGATAGGCATCGTTTGCGACGATTATGCAATATGTCCACCCTTAATCTTAGCTACGGCAGGTACGCATCTGGTTGCCTGTAGGGTAGGCCCAAATCGACCACTGTGTTTGAGCTGAGCAATGAGTTTGGAAAAAATGAAAACAGCACTGTTCTTCAGGCGTGATTGTCACGAAAAGCAAAAAAGGAATTTGACGCCCTTGGAGAGCAGTGTCATTCCGTCATCTCACCCACTACCCACATCCCTCACTTCAGGTCAGTACACCATGGCACGGCGCTTGCTAACCTTGCATGGGAACGAGCGCAAGGCGAGGATTGTGACTCATGCCCAACGTAAGGAGATCAATGCCGGCAGGCGACGCCGATTTTGAGAAGTCGAGCCGCAACTGCTGTGACAAATCACCATGCAAAGCGGAGCCAATTGAAGTTTCCATGGAGATTAAGCCTGAGCCATAGCTCAAGGAAAACACCAGAGGGATAGGAGTCGAAGCTGAATTCAATGCATTGGGGACAACGGCGGCTTTACGAAGGGTAAGCCACAGCCGTTTTTTTCCGTCTCTGGTGTCAATATAGATTTACATTAGCTCGTTGATCGCCTAGTACTGGACGTGAGCCACGGCACATCTGGAGTTTGCGGCCAGGCATGGTGAGCATCCGCCGCGCCATGGCGGAATAATACCGGGTCATTATGCGTGTGTCATATGGATTGTCAGGTATGGTTTCAATGTGCGATGCCACGATACTGCTCTCCAGGGTGCGACAAGTGTATGTATGTGTGTGTGTGTGTGTGTGTGTGTGTGTGGTGTGTGTGTGTGTGTGTGTGTGTGTGTGTGTGTGTGTGTGTGGTGTGTGTGTGTGTGTGTGTGTGTGTGTGTGTGTGTGTGTGTGTGTGTGTGTGTGTGTGTGTGTGTATGTATGCATGTATGTATGTATGTATGTATGTATGTATGTATGTATGTATGTATATATATATATATATATATATATATATATATATATATATTATATATATGCATGTGTGTATGCATGTGTGTATGCATGTATGTATATATGTATGCATATATGTATGTATTTGTGTATGCATGTATGTGTCTATGTATGTATGTATGTATGTATGTATGTATGTATGTGCGTATGTATGTATGTGTGTATGTATGTATGTAAGTGTGTATACATGTGCGTGTATGTATGCATGTATGTATGTATGCATGTATGTATGTGTCTATGTATGTATCTATGTATGTATTATGCATGCATGTATGTATGTATGTATGCAAACACCAGGCGGCAAACCTCAGGACCAATAAAAAACTGACGACAACCGGATAACTTACTGTCTAAGCCCGTGTATGCATGCTAGCACAGAAGACGAGAACGACGGTCGAAAAAATATGTTCTCCGTACTGCCAACATGTTGTCCGAATCACCAACCAAAACTCTTGACTTCCCCTGATCTCGTAGAGTTTTATAATACGTAATACATCTATAAGTTATGTACAAAAGTGCTTTTGGCTGCGCACAACGGCGTTACACCTTAGACACAGCTTAGGCTTCGGCCACGTGATTCGCAGCTGATGGTGGTTTGGCTTTCACCTCGCCTTTACACAGCATGAATTCCCTGACTTCGGCTCACACTTCGCCCGTGCATGCTTCGAAGCCCCGTCTTGGGATTCGGATTCGTGTCTTCGCCAGAGCGACACCATACATTTACATCGACACCAAGACGAAAAGTCCTCCGGGCCGGATTTGAACCAGCGACCTATGGATGCCTGCGCTCTTCCTCTACAGTCCACCGCTCTACCAACTGAGCTACCAGAGGCTGACAGCACTAGGTACAGACTGTCGGAGGGACGGCCAGTGGGTCCCGGCGGGGTGGGGTTGGGTGGAGTAGGGTGCGGTGAGGCCGAGGGTAACCTGGAGGTCGGGTAACCCCCACCTTCCCCGTCTCAGTCGCGTAGCCAGCGGCTGAGATTCGTACAGGAACATTGTACCTCAGTCAGGACACTTGTTTTCCTGCCCCTCCTGGCAGGAGAACAACGTGCCAGCGGCCGTATTCGGTGGAGGACCGGCGGGGACAAATACTGAGGTGCACTGCTTCGACACCAGGTCGGAAGAAACCGTGTCTGGTACTGGAGCCAGGCGGAAGAGCTTGTGCTGAGCCCTGAGGGGGGGGGGGGGGGGCGGTATCCGACCGGCGGCTAAATAAGGGTCACGCACGGAAACCGTCACAGAACATCTTAGGTCGGGGTGGTCGAAACATCTAATTCATGGCACCTGTTCCTCTTTTGTCGCCTGTCGTCTGTCGCTTGCCTCCAAGGTCGCACACGCCACTGTTCAAGAGAACATGACTATATATCAGACGCCGACCAGAGCTGTCCTCGGGCGTTGACCAGCCGTTGACCTCCCAGCCATGTGCGCCGGCGGGCTCGGGGCCCGGCGGCGGAACACAAGGTACCGGGCCGGACAAGTCGACTGTGGAATTTGTGCCGAGATACACGACAGAATGTGGGGATTGGAGGTGAAAATTCTGCCACTAGATATGCAACATGTTGGGCAAGCCAAACAATGACTACGCCTGGCATCACAGAGCGTGAGCATAGGACCTGTTTGTTAACGCACTGGAATTAAAAGGCTGGGATCGAATACAAAATCCCCTGTCACATGACATGTTGGTCGGCAAATTTTCACAACTGGGACGCTCCACCAGTCACTTAGCAGTTATATATTAAAGTGCATCATCGAATGAACAAAGCAAGTGCACAGATTGTTGCCATAAATTTGCAGGCCACGACCACACGGCTCCAATACATATTGCGGAGTTGACCGACCAGAGGCGATCTAAAACAAAGGCGGACAAAACGTCGATTTCTGGTGTTTTTTTACGATTTTAAGGTGAGCGGTCCAAGAGATGGGGATTGGCCCTCCCGCCATACCCAGAAATTCGACCCATGAACTTTGTAACAGGATCCCCATGCCACTGGTTCAAATAGAACAGTCACAACGTATCTACATCACAAAACGTCCTCCGGGCCGGATTTGAACCAGCGACCTATGGATGTCTGCCTCATTCCACTACAGTCCACCGCTCTACCAACTGAGCTACCAGAGGGCCCGAGCCTCCTGGCATTCGTCGGGCGTTGGACCGGTGCACCAGGAGGCGACTTAACCCTCTGATACCTGAAGGTCACAATCGGCATGTTACGTTGTGGCAACTTCCAGGTGTCCCTATACAGTACAGTCATACCTGCAGCCGGTCACAGTTGCGTGACGTGACGCCTGATATTATTATCAATGTAGCATGCATCAAAGTCCATGAAAGTGTAACGTGGTGGAAGAAGAGAGTAAAGTAGCGAGTGCGGTGCACGATACCCCTGTTAACAGAGCGCATGACACCGCACACCGGCAGGCCCATTTGCGATTGTCACGCATGTCACGCACGTCAGGCATGCACGCATGACTGGCAAGTCAACAACCGGAAAACGACCACTCACGCCAACGTTCCATTATCTGTTCAGGTGTCGTCCCCGGGCCGAGACGCGAGGGATCAAAGACCCAAAGCCACCAAGGTCCATTGGGTCCGGAACCGGTGCTGACTCATCGTCACCAGTCATCCCCTCGTTCTTCCCACCGTCGCCACCCGGCCTGAACAAACCGCCGCTCCTCCTCACGCTGCACTCGTTCCAAGGACGACAGACGTAGCACCCTCCTCTCCCGCGCCAGACCGCGCCGTGCGCAGTCGGAACTGCACGTCGGCGCCGGGGAGCAAAACGCTGGCGACGCTGACTCGCCGGGCCGGTAGGCGCCTGGTGGCCGGGCCATTCTCCAGGACGCTGTCACATTGTGCCAAGTCACCCCGACCGATCAGCCGCGGAGCTCGGCCGTCATCGGCCGGCGGGGCGCGCGCGCGCCTCCTCCGCCAGCCGAGCGTGGGCCGCGCTGCCCAGGGCGGCGCGTCAGGCTAGGCCGCGCCGCCCGCCGGCGCCAGTGCGCGCTCAGCATGGCTGCCGCTAGGAGCTCGCAGCAGCGGCGGCGGACGAGGCCCGGCGGCCGTGTCTCCGTCCTGGCCGTCGCCGCCGTGCTGCTCGCCGGGGCCGACGCGCGGCTCGTTACCACCGGCCGGCCGGTCGCATCGGCATCGACGACCGACACCAGCGTCATCTATCGGACGGTGACGAGTGTGCGCTGCGCGCCGCCGTCGGCAGGGGCGGCCCGGCCCGACATGCGGACGGCACGAGTGCTCGGCGGCGTGAGTGGCCGCAGCAAGGTGCCGGTACTGGTGACCGAGCCAGGCGCGGCCGCTTTCATCACGCGCACCCTGGCGCCGGGCTTCTCGGTCACTTATCGGCCGCGGCCGTCCGTCACATACACCCGGCTCTTCCAGACCGAGGCGCCCGGCGGCACGACGACGCGAACTGCCGGCGCCGACGTCTCAACCAGAGCTCCAGTCAGGGAAGCGGAGGTGTCGAGGCAGCAGCCGCACAGCTTCTACCTGCCGCCACTACGCGGCAGCACTCCCGGCGGTGACACGACGAAGGCGAGCACCGCAGAACACGCGCTTAGTTTACCGCCACCGCCGCCACGCGGCAGCACTGCCAACGGCGACCCAACGAAGGCGAGTGTCATAGGACAAGCGGTACTCCGCTTGCCGTCGCCGCCACCGCGCAGCACCACTGTCCACGGCGGCTCGACGAAGACAAGCGCCGCTGGACAACCGGCACTCAATTCACCGTCATCGCCGCAATGCGACAGCACGACCCGTGGTCCGCGTCCGCAACCACCGCTTGTGGTCGCAAGCGGATACAACCGGCCACCGCTGAGCTTCCTACGGCCGCCAACAGGTGACGGCACGGTCAGCAGTCGACCACCGGCAGCGAGCGCCGACCTAACGCCGCCGTTCAGTTTTCCCCCTCCGCCACTACGAGGCAGCCCTGTTGACGGCTGGCCGACAGCCGTAAACATGGTCCCAATAACGCCCCTCAGTTTCCTTCCGCCGCCACCACGCGGTGGCGCTGTCGAAGGACGACCGGCGGCCGTGAACATGGTCCCAATAATGCCCCTCAGTTTCCTTCCGTCGCCACCACGCGGTGGCGCTGTGAAAGAACGACCGACGGCCGTGCACTTTGTCCCAATATCGCCGCTCGGCTTCCCCACGCCGTCAGTTCGCGAAGGAACAGCCGACGGCCGACCGACGATTGTGGGCATGGTTGGTATGTCGCCGCTAGGTTTCTTTCCCCCTGCTCTCCCTCCTGCCGGCCGCTACGCGTCAGCACCGTCGGCGGGTGGCCGATAACGGCCGAACCGCGTTGCACTGCCTCCGCCGAGGTTCCTCACGTCACCGCCAGGCGGCAACAGTGTCGCCGGCGGGCCACGGGCCGGGCGGAGCGGCCGGCTCCGGCTTTGACCCCTTCGAGAACGACGTCGATCCCTTCGAAGACGACGGTTTCCTGTTGTGAGCGTCGAAAACCGCGGCCCTGGCCTCCGCCAGCTCGTACGCCGAAGACGCCGCTGCGCCGAATGAGTCCACCGTCCAGCCCTGTGTTGGACCGTCCGCAACAACCAACTTCCGTCGCGCCGCGATGTCGCGGTCGGTGTGAAGCCGGTCATCCATCGTGGCCGCCCGCGAGCTAGCGACTGAGACAAGTTCGCTCTCCTTCCGCCCCGACCGCCGTCCCTTCAGCGGACCGGCTCCGCCCGCGCGGGAGGCGTGAACGGCACCACGGAGGTGGCCACCTACCTTGAGGTCCTCCTCGGAAATCTCCGAACTGCCCGTCAGCAGGTTCTGCGTCCGCCGGTACACCTTGCGTTTGAACCTGCCGCAGCGGATAACATGGCGGTTAGCTCGAACGCCAGACGCATCGCTCGGGCGCGGAATCCGAGACTTGCGAACAAGAAGTCGTGGATGCCTGCTACTGGTTGCGGCTGGTTCCTCGTCCGCCTACAACTGGCACGTGATGACGGTGCTGATCGTTATTACTGTCACGTGTGCAAGTAGGACTGAAATAATCCAGACCAATTCGTGCGCACGCCAGTGAAAAAAATCAGCTGACATGGTCATAGCTGGATTCAAACAACACAACTCGAAAGGTCATGCTACAGGGTACAAGAGCGTGACATGCATGAACTTCGGGCATGACATGTCGTGGAATGTAAAAATAAATAACGTTTGTTTTTCCTTTCCTTGAATAAATGTGTGACTCTTATATTATTTTTTGCATAAATGTTATGTAAGCCAAAACGCAAAACCACGAATATTGTGCTGCTAACCCTATAGTTGCTTTCATAAAAATTCGAGACGAGTCTCGTCTAGAGCATGGCAACGGAGTTATTGATAACTAGAATCCGATCACAACTTTAAGAAAACCCAATGCACCATTTTCCACATGAAGCCTACACATGGAATACGGATACTGCAAAGTGGGCCGCTATTTGCCATGTGATGACGGAGTGCCGCAGAAGGACCCTCTGCACAGATTACTGGGTTACACCCGTCTTCAGTAAGCGCGCCCACCAAACAGCGCACGTGAGTGGTCAGTGACTGACTTGTTAAGCCGCTTGGTGCCGGAGATGGTCTCCTGGCGCGAGTACAGCCGGCCTGTGGACGGGTCCGGCGAGCGACCCTCGCGCACCACGAACACGTGCAGGTATACCGAGCCGTTGTTGAGCACCGCCTAGTGGGCAGACGGCACGTGTGAGACGACTACGGTCGCGCGTGCAGGCTACAGCGCAAACCTATATCGGGGATGAAGAGCTGTCCAGACCGCGTTACAGTGTAGGGTTGGTGAAAGAGCGCGCACTAAGGACAGCTGTACTGACGTTGCCTAATTAGCAATTGTAGACGCATTATGTAACTGCCAATTAGGACGCAAATAGATAGCAGACGAAAAGCTGCGAAAACTGCAGCTGCGGTATGGGTGGACGAGGGAACTCAATACGAACACTTGTTCAGTCCACCTGCGCGCATTTCGGCAATGTGAAACAGTGCAGCAGTGCGCCCACTCTTGCGTGTTGAGAACTTGGTGACCACCCCCAGCCGTCAGCGACATACTAGCGGCGCCACCCACCCACTAGCGGCACCCGGCCAGCCCCCGCCGCAGTGGGCACAGCGCGCCCGGCCCGGCCCGCGGCGGTCGCGCTACCTCCGAAGGCCGGTAGATGAGCTTGTGGGAGAAGATGCCGTTGCCGTCGGGCCCGCTCGTCCAGTCGCCGTACTGTAGTCCGAGCTGGCGCCAGGCCAGCTGCTCCGGCCGGCTGAAGTCTGGTCCGTCGGCGGACTCGCTCACATACACGTACAGGTCCTGCCGGACACGCAGCGTTACACCCGTGCACACGTGTGTCAGGCGGGGAGCCACGGGCGGACGCGTACAGATCCTGCCGGGACACGCAGCGTTACACCCGCAAACACGTGTGTCAGGCGGGTAGCCACGGGCGGACACGTACAGGTCCTGCCGGACACGCAGCGTTAAACCCGCACACACGTGTGTCAGGCGGGTAGCCACGGGCGGACACGTGCGAGGCCTGCCGGGTCGTGCAGACAGACACACACGGAGACGCGTCACGCATCGGAGCCAGGGAGGCCGCAGTATTCACGAACGCGTGCAAATCTAGCCGACAACGGACGTATGGGGCAACACCAGCCAAGCATGTGCACAGGTACCGCCGAGCACCACTGGCGGACATCCCCGCGTGTGCGAGACAGGAACGCCGCACCAGCACGCGTCGCGACCAGACGACAGACAACTGTGACCAGGAGAGGTGTCCCGGTGGAAGTACGGTAACACCCACGCCCTTTCGTGAAACATCACACATCTCCGAGCGCAGAGTGGCCATAGTAAGCACGGGGGTGCGCCCGTGCGTCAGGCTTAACCGTGAATTCGGGGGCCATTGAGTCCTCGGGTAAGGATTCTCGGCAGCCCTTCCAGGTCATGGGCCTGCGAGCGGGCGCACCAGCGCACTGCTCGTGGCCGCCTCTGCCGCCGATCTCGTCCCCCTCCGTGCGCAGGCACGCCCCGAGATGGAAATGGGAGCCGACGGGCCGGCCGCCGACCGCCCACGCACCATGCCCGCCAGCACCGCGGAGTGGGCCGTCACCAGATCACGCAGATGTGAAGTAAATGGACGCTCTTCAAGCCGGCTGGCATCGGCCAACACACACACACGCACGCACGCACGTGCGCACGCACGCACGCACGCCCCCCCCCCCCCCATACACACACGTGATATCCAGCACCTACAGTCAGGAAAAGGGAGCGCACAGATTGCTTCGGCACATGACGTCTTGCGCACGCGATGAACCTGTAGTTCTACCGTCTCGATGCATCGTCGTTTGATCCGGTCTCCAAAACCGGCACCACGGATCCGTGAACTGCCAGCAGCCGCTCTGCGGTCATCGGAGGCAATGCGAAATGCAAAGGCCACGTGCGTTTACGCCGCGGTCATCAGCGCGGGCCGCGGTGTGTCAAGTCTATCAAAAAACTCCGACTCTCATTGAAACCACCGTGGTTTCAGTATTTCAAGTCTCTCAAATTGTGGCCTCCGTGGTTTCCGTTCAAAACCCACCCCCTAATAGCTGACTGGTGCCGCCCGCGGCGCGCTGCATTCATGCCGTGGAGCAATACAAGAGGTCTTCAGAACACGGCACTCACCATGAACGTTCCATTTTCGAACATGTTGGTGGCGTACACGGGCGCCTGCGGCTTTCCACCGCCCGGCCCGGCCTGCGGGGTGGGGCGCCTGCAACACCAGTCAGTGCTTGGAGACCAGACCACCAGAGAGAACGGCTAGGAGACCAGCCTTTAAGATGGTAGTGATGCATGTCAGTTCATTTAATAATAAAAAAACTGGAAAACTTTACAGTACTACTGTCATAAAAAAACGCACATTTCATGATGGCAGCACAATGAGCAAATGCCCAAAGGACAATGAAGTTGTGGACAAGACAGAAAAGACATGGAGTACAGCTGAATGGACAAATATTCAGAAGTAAAGATATGCCATCACTGTCTGGCCAGATCACAGCCTGGCAAAAAGCACGATTTGGCATTGTATCAGGCCTAGGTATCAGCCACACCTGAACATGGACGATATGAGATAGATGACAAAGGCGCGGAATATGAGGCCCTTGCAGATGGAGAAGAAAGACTGCTGCGCCGGCTGCTGTTGCTGCTGCTGCTGCTGACCGTCGGCCGGCTGGCCGCCGCTGGCCACCGGGCCGCTCTCGGGCGCCGCCACCTCTCCCGGCATGGTCACCGCCACCGAGCTGCGCGGGTCAGGTCAAAGGCTGGCAGCAAGCTCCCAGGGCACTGTCTGAAACACAATGGTGCGTGGCACTCATGCTGAGCAGATGGTGTTTCCACTGGCTGCCCAGTACACACTGCTTCAACACACCAGGCTTTGTTTGTGTTGCACCAATTTCATGTTAACAATTGTTATAATAAAAAGAGAATAATCTTGGGAAACATTAAGGTTCCCATAGCAGTGGGGAGGATGCACAAACTTTGAATACATTTAACATACACTTGTTCTTGTAGGCCAGTCACTCCATGCTACATCGAGTTGGGATATCAAACAGGATCATGTGTTTCAATGCCATGAAATCACAGACTGGAGGCAGTTACATTCTTGAGAATGTTAAGAGAGTGGCTGCAGTAATTGTCTATCAATCACTAGCAATAACATTTGAGGATTCAGGGCGCCAAAGGCCTTTGTGACTGAGATGCATGCATGGATCATACCACACACACTAAGGTTTTTCTCATGACAAACTAGGACCTGGTAACAGTAAATGTCTTGCTGAAATGCTGTGTGCAAATCAGCATCATTGATAAGGATAACAATTAGCAGTTGCTGTGACTGGAAACCTAAACAGTTGGGTGTCTGTCTGCATCATTGGCTGGGACCCTGCATGCACACCACCAGTTATGAGTGAATACTTATCCCTCCAAAGCACACTGATGCTTTATGGCCTGCCAGCATAACAGTTGTTTGATGACCTGATGGCTGCCTGAAGGGCTTATGTCCCTCATAGGTCTCTCAGTGTCTCTTATCTGGTATACATGGTCCAATGTCCTCAGGTTCACCACATCCATATCACACAATGTCATATGGTACATGTCATGCACCATATGACATTGTACATGATATGATATGATATCTGATGCATCAATGTCATGTAAGCTCATTAGATGATGAAAGCAACACATTTTGTCTTTCATTTTAAATCACAAAGATCATGCCTAATGGAAATGACTATTCAACTTTTGCAGCACAATAAATAAAAAGACATGTTTGAATGGTAGGGCATTGTTGAAGTACAGCCTGCTTGGCCATTTAATCCTTTTGATTGCTTTTCCAATTCAACAAAGGTATCTGTAGCTCTGTTAGCAGATGCTCAGGTGGGTGGGAGGGGGGGCAAATTGACTCCCCGAAGGTTTTTCCAGAATGGTTTCTGAATGGCGAGGCATGGCCGCGCCAAATTTTGCACAGCTGTAGACAATTGAATAGTGGATTGCTCCACACAAAAATTTACTTGTACCTTGTAAGGTTGCTGATCTATGGCAGGTCAAAGTCAGGCCATGGTTTCAGCAAAGGGAAGGTCAAGGGAATCCTTCAATCTGATCCAACAACAGAGTGTTAGACAAAGCCATACATCTCTGAGATGCTTTCTTAGGTAACACAACAGTTGAATTAACAGATTACATTGACCTTAGGTCAGGTATGAAGGTCACACCAAGGACAAAGCCAGCATGTTTTGTTACTCTAAGGCTTGCTGTATGGGATAGTTGCTGGTGCTTATTTCTAACTCGTTGATAGCAGGAACTGCATTATACATCTTCCATTGACTTCTAAGGGGTCAGAAAAGGTCACTGACCTAAAATGACCCAGGTCAACATTTTGTTTTAGGAACATACTGCCTAGCATTATCTTTGCCACTTGGTCAAATGCAAAACTCAAAACAATCTTGTATTGTATTCTCATATTATTTTCATCTTGTTGACCTTCAAAGGTCAACCAATGTCACCCACCTTAAATAGGCATGTGAGCTTTGGCTTAGAAATGGTTATCTAGGTTCTGGGGGCAATTTAGAGACAAGCCTGGAACTTGACCTTGTTTGACCTCTTTAGACCAAAAGGGACTTTTTAGACCTCAGAACCTGAAACACTGACCTAAGTGATTTCACATGCAGGTCGACACAGCCTGTAAATTTGGTGTCTCTAGCTTTCTTAGTCCCCAAGATCTCTCGGGGGGGTCAAATTGACCCCCACCCAAGCAAAGGGTATCTAGCCGACTACCCGTGCTCGTGTTAAAGCATTCAAGTTATTCGTCTTTCTGGCTTTGTGGCCATTAAGGTGCCCATATCAGAGAGCACACATGCTAAAGACAACAAAGTCTTGAGTGCTTAGTGACAAATGGTATTAAGAAAAAGCCATTGCAATTCATCATGCAAAACCAAGGATAAGTACAGTGGTGTTATTTTATCAACACAATGCATTTCAATCAGCAATGTTTTGCCCCAGATACTAAAGTGCCTGGTCCAGTGCTTAAAACAATCTTTTAGCTATACTTAGGAAGACCTCTCTATGGGCAACTATTTTGGGGAATTCTTAGCCTTTGCAACATAACATGTCATGGGATGGCACCAACATGGAGGGAAAAGGAGTGGAGGGGGTGGGGCAACACTGTAAAATGATGCTGACATTTCCAAGGGGAAAATATCTATTTGTCCCCTTGATATTTCAGGAGACCGCATCATGCTAACAGGAGGCCTCAGATGATTGAGGCACATTTTCCATAAAATCAAAAAAGGAGGGCTGATAAGGCACACAAGATATCACCTGTCCCATAGGTCAGGCTGTACCTGATGTAAAGTACACCATAGCTGTCTTGAGCAGCAGCTACAGTGTTCCAAAAATTGTAATGCATGCATGTTAAAAATCCAAGACCTCTGAACTATGGCATATGTTTAAGCACCTATTTCATGGCATTGCCAATGTCTATAAAATTGTGGTGCTTAGAAAATTCTTGAAGTGAATCAAGTGCAAGAAAAACCTCCCAAAACGATCTTTACATGAGAGCATGCCAAATATGTCTACCAAAGCTTGACCCGGCCTGAGTTTGGTGCACGCAAGCATGAAGTTCGGCGTGCACATGTCACATAGGAGTCTGGCGCAGTATATTAATTTTTGCAGACTTGTCTGTAGGTCCTAGATGGCAAACATCATACCTTTTATGACCACACAAGTCTCCAGGTGATCAAAAGGAAGCCCTAGCAGATGAAAAAGGGGCAAATAGGAGTGACACCACGCCGGTAAAACGCTACTTCAGCACTCGTGTACCACCGACGGAAGGAAGATCTACGATGGACGCAAGGTTTATGTACTGTCTTTCTAAATAAAACCTGTAAGGCATCAGCTGACATTGTGACGTCACTGAAAACGATTTTGAATCGATTCAACGCCGAGGCTCCCATGGATTGCCGACGCGTGTGCTGTCACTGTGCATCAGTTTTTTCCGGCTCTTTTTTGGGTGGACTAATGGCCATATGGCATGAGCCGACGGTATGGCATCACTGATATTCGACTAGCTGTGTGAGGTCACTGGTTATAAGTTTTTGCGGGTTCTTTAGGGCCGACCGAAGGCCAAGGCCGCGTTCGATCGGTCGTCAGCACATTTGTTAGCACCAATCACAGCCCAGTATTCGCCCTGCGTCACGTCAAGTGACCATAGTCATATGGTCTGTGACGTCATGCGCCGGCTGGCGATAATGCCAGGACCGCGTTCGATCTGTCATCACATTTGTCAGCTGGAATGCGTGACGTTATGCATGCGCACGGTGCATTCGATGCATGGGCTAACGGACAAGTTTTTTTTTTTACTTTACTTTTCCTTCTTCCTTTACCTTTTACTTCACACCACACACTAACTCTGGCTTACCGCCGACACACTACGTAGAAAGTGGTGTTTGGAAGTGTGGCTTCTGCTACCGTATTACCATCATCTATCCCATCCGTATGTTGGGTGCTTCTTCCCACTTCCAATTCATTTCGATTTCTTGCCTCTCATTTGAAGTGTTTACTTGTAATGCTGTTAATTTGCTAGACAACGTAACCACACACCACATCAGTCACTGTCACTCGCCTCTTCATGGCTGCTCTTGGCATTTCAGTTCCCTCCTCATTTATCTCACGTCGCATTCCCCAGAATAAGAGGCAAGTGTCCTCATCCCACCTAACGATGAGGTGGGATGAGGGCATTCGCCAACGCAATAGTTTAAAGAATCCCTCTGGTGGGCAATTCAAATTTCCTAAAGCTTTAGTTTTGAACAGGGTTCAAAATCCATGGACATCACAATATCTGTGCCTTTCACCCTTGCAAAATTATCGATCTGCCTGTTCCACGAGGGAGCACCAAAAAAAGCTTCATTACCGGGCATCTTGGCTTTTATTTTCCAGAAGCACATACTTCCTGAAGCACCACAAAGCAGGGGCGGGTCCAGGGGGAGGGGCCATGGGGTCAGTCCTCTTCCCCCTGGACGCAAGGAGGTTTGGATACTCTGAAGGATGCCAAATGTCATCGCAAAGGGGCAACAATGCCTTCATTTCGGAATCACGTGACCTATACTTTTATGAGACACCAAATTGTGGGGCACCACGACGTCCGTGCCGTGGCCTCGACGAAACCCTGCGTCGGCCCATGCGGTTAGGGAGCACCAAATCCGTCATTTCGCGGCAACATGCCCTTTATTTTCAAGAAGCACCCAATTGCTGAGAGTACCAGAAAGGGTCCTAAAACCATTTATTCTGAAATAGGCATTAATTCTAGGGGCATAACTATGTGGAGCTTTTCGCCCTCATAAAATAATGGATTCGACCTTTGGGCAAGGAGGCACAAGAACCATCCTTTGAGGGTGTCATAATCTTGATTGCCAATGGGTGCTAAATAAAAGCGGGTCATTTGCAAAGCCCAAAGCCATAGATTTTAAGGAGCACCAAAGTCCAGCGGCATTACAATCGGTGTGGCGTTCACTTCGGAAAAATTCCGAATCGGACTGTTCAGGGAACAGGCACCCTGTTTAAGGAAACAGGCACCAACATCCTCCGTTGTTATTGGGGCTTTAGGACAAGTCATCACAATGCGTCTCCATTGACGAAATCCTGCGTCGGACCATTCGGCCAAGAGACACCTTTCTTTCGGGCCACTACGACATTTATTTCCTTGAGACACCAAATGCAAGTGGGCGATTGAAGAATAATTGAAGGAGGTTCAAAACTTCCCTTTTAAGGTGCACCGGAATACAGGTGCCCACAAATGCCTGCCTCACACTGTTGAAATCCTGGTTCGGCTCCTTCGGTGAAAAGGCAGCAAGAACCTTGACTGTGGGCATCATAACATTTATTTCTACCAGCACCCAATTCCGATTGCAACACCACAATCAGCCCAAATATTCATGTTAAAGGGATGCAAGATTCAAGGGGCACTTAAAATGGTCCCTAAAGCTTTATTTTCATGGGGAACTGAAGTAAGCACACCCCCACCTCTCTCCTAGGTTCCAAGAGTCACATGGGTTCCGAATGTCCTATTTCGGCCCCTTTGGGCCGAAGATCAAGAGTCTGATTAAGGAGTCCGAAGGACAGGCCGGAGGCCGTATGGACGGATCGCAGCCCAAAGGCCGGGCCCTAAAATGGAAGAGTAGCTCTAGCACTGATCGGAGACGCGTGCGACTGTGTCCCTATTTGAAGGAACTGACTGAGAACAGCCATATCGAACAGTCCGTTCCCTGCTATTCTGGGGCCTAGGGGTTATTTCCTGAGCAGAGACTATGCCAAGATCTATAAATGCCACTTAGAAGGCATCCTACATTCGTCTGGACACCTGAAACAATGAAAGACCCACATTGTTGGTCAGTGACCACAGTTCCTAGCAGGAGACCATGTGTCGGCAATGAGCCCCAGGTCGGCCGGGAGCACATTTGCTGAATAGGGACGATGAAAGGGACGTATGCCAAAGGACCTATTGTGCTGGTCTGGACCCTCCTGACAATGAAAGGATTCACAAGAAATGACAAAAGGGGGTTCTCATGCATAATGCGACGGTGGAGAGACATGTGCTAGCCAGGGACACCAGAAGCGGACGAGGGATTCTGTGCACAATTTCAACCAGTGACCGATGAGGCGAATTAGTGTCTCGATACCAGTTATTGGACTTACTGTACCAGTAAGAGTCTGTTTGCATCAGGGGGGGCCCCTGCGCCGATCCGTTGCTGGATGTCCCAGTTAGAGGGCCAGCCGCATCGAGGAGGGGACCGGTTGTGGTGCATCCTTCTGAAGGTCTCCGTAGGGTCCTGGGTGCTATCACTAGACTTAAAGCCGCTGGGGACCCCAGGAAGGGACGTAATGCCTTTCAGCTGCTGACCAGAACGTTTTACCAATGCAATTTAGTTGGTTTACCAGTCGATTCTCTGAACTGATTCAGCAGTTGCAGCATGACGTGCAAGGGAGATTACGCCAATGCGCCATACCATTGCGCCTTCCAGTAATCCCTCCGGACTATCAATCTAAAAATCGCACTAGCGAAACATCCGGCAAAGGGACACCTTTTACACGCATACCCGTTAACTTAAGGCGTTGGAAAGTAACAATTTCGAAACGTGGTCATTTCCACCAGTCTGTTGACCGCTGTCAGGTGTTGCTGCAAGGTTCCGTATGCTACAGTGGCATAACAACAGCATTTTTGTTCTGACGTCTCACAGAGCACCTCACGGGAGGGGGGAGGGGGGCACCGAGGAATCACGTGCAGCCCGACCACAAAACTCTCCTCGCGCGCTGAGCGCTTACATAAAACACTGCAATTATATCATCTACACACAAACAATGGAACCCAACATTCTGAATGCATTACTTATTCATGTCCAAAAACCACTTCAAAGGAAATAAATGAATCAAACTATTGAATTATCTCTTTGAAGCAGCATCACGAATACATCCATTAGACAAAGAGCAATGCGCCGATAAATAGCACGGATATTGGGTGACTGTCATGCGGTGTTGCGATTTGCTGTGTTGATTGTGTTATTGAAAGTGTGTGGTGCTATGATGTCTTCCGCACGGCTGAAGAACTGTTTGTTGTCGCCAAGTCAAAACGTCAGTGAGTGCTGACCAGTGAAAAGTTGATGGTTGGTTTGCATGCTCGTGTTTTATGCTCTGACTTAAAGTGTTTAAGGTGCCGAAATGAAATGAGGAGTCAGATATATAGAAGAGTCGGTCACTAGTCATCTACCGTACAAGTTTTGCGAGCTTTGTGTGTCTGTCGTCATAAAAGTAAATGTATATACATATATACACATATATATATATATATATATATATATATGCATATGTATGTATACATCAATATCAAAAGCTCTGTGCGATTCGGGCAAAAGCACCGGCCAGGACCAGCACGACACCATATCGGAGTGATCGGAAGCGGTAAACTTTGCGGTAACTAAATCTCCGCACATGTACCTTGCGAAAATGCTAGAAAACTGGAGAAGGCCTCTTAATTTGTGAGCACCCTAGAGTTCAGGGCTCTATCCACCAAAAATTCTCGTATTCCGGCCGTTGAGTTTTATTCTTATATATGCAGTTTGCATACCGGAGCCCAGCTTACCGCGCACAGCCCTAAAAAACTAGACATGCTTCGTATGCAAATACATGGAGCTTATTCATCTTCGTCGAATCATGGTGGATCCGGTCATTTTAAGACCAAGTATTTTGAAGAAAAATGCCAACATACACTTAAATTGGCTGCTAAATACCATCAAAATCAAGCAAAAGTTTGATTCCTAGCTTACATACGGTTAGCCGGGTAGTTGATGAGGTCAGCTGATGCCTGGGGACTAATACAGGGTTTTTGTTTTGCCTGTTTCAAAGGAAAACAGAATACCCTATCCTTCAAAATATATTAAAACGTAACATACAACTATAATAATCGTCACAAATTCAATAATCAACGGAAATAAGATGCACGACGTCGGCGGCGTGCAAAATTATGTTCCAAATGACAAGAATGACTTCATCGGCGTAATCCACATAGCCGCAAATTCAGTCATCAGTCGGTAAGAAATAAGGCCCCAATGAAAATGATTAAGATTTACGTCCCCGTCAACGGCGTAGGCTCTCCTATGACATGGAAAAAACCCGAGACCAATAAGGATGGCACCTGGGCAATCGAGACTGCCGTGGCAGCCCAACAAAGAGGCTCCAGTGAACAGTGAAGGATTCTCATAACAAGCAAAAAGAACCTAACATCAATATTGTCGGACCCCTGAACTATCGGGAGCACCCTGGTAGGCT